TTGTGCTAGCCTAGAGCAACTCAGATATATAATTATATATTGTATGGTTGACTTATACGAATATAAATCTTACTTTTCTTCTTTTCTGCCTAAAATCGTTTTTTTCGTTTTATTCCTTTTATGATTATTTTCCGAAGATAATACTTTAGCACAATGTTAGCACAACCTAGCACAATAAAAAAAATTTCGAAAATCAAAAAGTGGGGGGCTACCAAAAAAAACGGTTTTTTCCATTTTTCTCGCTCATTTTTCGTATTAAAAATTTATAATTCGAGCACAATGTAGCACAAACCTAGCACAAATCAGCACAACTGCCAAAATTAATAAATTCGAAAAGTGGGGGGCTAACTTCATACAGGCCTCTTATGCTCGATACCAAAAACATGACAAGCAAGACTTGCACCGTAAATAAAAGACGAAATTCCTCTAACTTTATGAACATTGTGTTTAGAATATTCTTCTGGTTTTAGAAAAATCCTTTTGAAGCAATGAAGAAGATTCTGCTAACAAGTAAACTTCGAGGAACGTCAAACACCAATTTGTCTCCAATTTTTTAGTTATTTTTTACGTCAAAGTATGAAGAAATCTTTTCCCCGAGGTTTACTTGTAAGGATAAGATCGTATTTTTTAGTGTTCACACACACACACACACACACACACACACACACACACACAATCGAGCTAGGTTTTGGATAATTGCCAGGGTTGGGAAATAACACGCCACGTGTGACACCATTACTGTTACAAATTACTTTTATTTGGTAACGATTTGATAACAGCGTTATTTCTTTTCTTTGTTAATAACGATAACGGCAATGTGATTACATTTTTGAGGTAACAGTAATAGATATAATTATGTTATTTCTGAAGAAACCTTTGAAACTCGGCGAGGAGAGCAAGGAAAATTATAACGACTCGTTGCTTCTTGAGTAACGATGTGTGACGCTAATGAGATATTTCTTCAAATATGCAACACTAACGGCAACAAGTCACTTTTCAAGAGCAACTTTCCCCCAACCTTAATTGATAAAATGAACGATATCAAGGCGAGCCGCATGTACATAAACGGCTATCAGTGACAACTGAAGCAGGCGCGCTGCGGCGCGCCGCCTTCACGAATTCGCGCGTCGAACGGATGATAAGCGCTTCGTGTTTCATACAAACAGAATAAATATAAACCGGGAGGTGTGATACGCTACAAAAGTGATACCGTCCATCAGGGTCAGGGATGGCGATTTTGCGCGTGCGACGCTGGTCGACGACGCTTATCGCTTTTCGGTGTCGCGCTGTATATTTTTGGAAATGCCAAAATTCGGTCAAAAATATACCCGAGCGGTGTCAATGGGGTCGTGCCGATTTTCGGTGATTTTTCTGCCGATTGTACGCGCACTTGCGCTGAAGGGAGAAGAGCTCCGCGTGTCACGCCCGATTCATTTTTAGAAGAACTGCACGACTGAGAAATCATTTCGAATGCGATATAAGTTCCTGAAGAAGATGAGAGAGTGTAACAATAATAATTCCATACGGAAAGAAATTTGGTTAAATTGACGAAATGCTTGGTAAAATATGAACGAAGACTTTTACTCCTTTGAGTTGAAACTGGAAGAAAATCACGATCGAATTGCGGACTAGCGATGTTAAAAAGTGAAGATACACAACTATGCAATTGCAAAATCAATTACATCATCTCTGCTCGATTTCTCGTGTTCTTCTTACCGGTCGAAGCTGGTCTCTCGAATATTCATCACGGTTTTTTAATTCACAAAATCTCCCTTCCTGATCCGACATAAACTTATCTCACTTCTCTCAATCATTCCATACATACTAAGTTATCAAATTTGATTTCTACTACGACACCTTACAGTTGTCTATTTAACAGTCTCGAGGAAACCGACGAGTCTCGTTCCGAGGTGGGGTCGGCGATTGCTCAACTCGTGGAACAAGCAGCCAATGCGTTTGCGTACACGCTCTTCGTCGACCCTCGAGTTTAATCGTTTCAAGCGTTCGTCACGAAATCCACGCTGCACACGTTCAATTTTAACGAATGTGTTGCGTAACTTCGAGAAGGAGAAGAAGAGGAGGTATTCTCTCCGTTGATACGACCTCTCTCTCTCTCTCTCTCTCTCTCTCT